TAAGTGATATTTTGTGCAGAAAATTATCAAGTGATACCGGTGCCTTTTGTCCTTGCAATTCCTTCAGATGCTCAAAGCAATCGCACATCTCGGCACTTTTTCTGATTTTTCTTTTAACTGCGTCAAAAAACGAGTTCGAATAACGACAACACGACGCTGCTCGCGTGTTTTCCGACAAATTCGCGTTCTAAATAAATCAACCGAAATAAATTCAAATTCTGGCAAATGCACTGAATCACTGGGGTGTAAATAGACACTATGGCGGAATGGGGCACTGCACTGATGATTCTCACCCCCATTTCGCATCGGCTCTGCCGTCTGTGTTTACAGCTCAGGGATGAAACACAAAGAGGACAACAGCTAATGCACGTACAGGCTCACTTATCTGGGTATCTAAATTGGCACTTCCTGCTTTCCCACAACTGACAATATTCGACTGTGTCCCTTTCTCGGCGGGCCTATAGTGCCAAACAAACTTTCATAGTTTGCATCTTAAAAATTTCCAAAACACATTATCTCACCACTGTTATTCGCTTGTTAACAAAGTTAGCACCAGCGATTTTGCGAACGAGTTTGATGGGTCCCACAGCTCATTATTTCTGCTTCTTCGAAATATCAATAAAATGATTTAGTCAAAATATCAGTATCAATATCAATTATTTATTTATGATTTATGAAAATATCAACGATTTAATCAAAAAAAATGATTTAGCCAATAAAATAATGAATCCTCTTCAAAATATCAGTAAAATTTCGAGATTTAGCCACAATATTAGCCCTTAACAACGGCGGGTAGCTGAGGGAACTGATCTCTAGGCAAACGGCAGTCCAACATACATGAGCTGGACTACTCATCAGTGAGTATGCCCAACCCAGTGCGTAGGTCCAACTTAAATTCGATTGTGTTCCCCTCCACGGTGGTGGGCCAACAGTGCCAAACAAACTGCATATGTTTGCTTTAACCTTTTTACATTATCAAAATCCCCCTTTTTCTTTTTGACACTTTGTATGTTATTTTTGCTGCAACCGTCACACTGACGAGGTCCAGTTGCAGCACTGAACAGGAATGTATGCGACTTAAAGGACCGAAACATTCCTATTCAGGTTTTTTAAACCTATTTAGCTTAATCACCTTCCTTTTATTCCCTTCTTTTAAACCCTTACTTTTTACATAAACACAAATCATCCAAAATTAAAATTACAACACATAGATGCGATTTCAGGCCCCCTGTCCTCTTCCAATCTCCTGGCCAGGAATATTCATTGTTTGTATCTTTAAAATTTCTGAAACATTTAGGTCAAAAATAACTTCGAAAAAAAAGCTAAAGGTCATGAGTTGTAAGATGAGCCGAAGTATTCCTGGAGAATTCCTGGAGTATATTCCCAGAAATTTTCGGAAAAACAACAGCTTCAATTAAGATCAATGATAATG